TGCGACATGCGCATGCGCACCTGCAAGTACGTCGCTCTGCGACATGCGCATGCGCACCTGCAAGTGCGTCGCTCTGTGACATGCGCATGCGCACCTGCAAGTACGTCGCTCTGTGTCATGCGCATGCGCACCTGCAAGTACGTCGCTCTGTGACATGCGCATGCGCACCTGCAAGTACGTCGCTCTGCGACATGCGCATGCGCACCTGCAAGTACGTCGCTCTGTGTCATGCGCATGCGCACCTGCAAGTACGTCGCTCTGTGACATGAGCATGCGCACCTGCAAGTACGTCGCTATGCGACATGCGCATGCGCACCTGCAAGTACGTCGCTTGCATGCCGAGTGAAATGCAAACCTACAGACACTGTAATGGTATCAGGACTTTAAGTATCGCTTCTATATTGTGCGAAAATTGTCTGCTGAGTGAAATTCGGGTCTGTTACTGTACGTCGATTTTATGCCGACTGTGGTGCTTCACATCAACTGGTGCGTTGATTTTTTGTTGAGTTCCATAGGATTTGCATGTAAGTAAATATTATTCTGATATGTAAACTAATTTAAATTTTGACCTGCAAACATATCGATCAATGATGATTAAAATCATCATTAAATGGGTAATGTCAGAAAATTGACTGACTGATATGGAATGTGCTAGTGCTTTGGAATGTGCTAGTGCTTTGGAATATGCTAGTGCTTAATTTGGCTCGCGAACGTTATAACAGCTAAAGAGAGGTGGACTGCCATGCATGATAGTCAGATGGTCTAATGAAAACTTTTTTTTATCTTTGAACGCAACGATAACTGGTGAAAAAAATTTCTCTACTCTAAAAACTTTTTCTACCTTTATCACTGTTATTTCTCATGTTACCGTTAAACATGAAACCAATCAATTTGAAGAGTATTTGCAGCGAATTTTGTTATGGTTTCTTATGATGACGTTTTTTAGGGTGACGGATAATAGACGGTGTGGGGATATACGAGTCAGCAATCACTGTGCGCAGAAGCGAAAAGGAATTCATTTAAGCATTCACGACCTGTCATCAGTGTGAGATGAACATTAAAAGCCCAGCGGGCAACGTCCAGTCATAATTCTTCGCATTAGCGCCAGTAAATGAGCTCGTAATGTTGCAGTTGATGCCTGAGGTTACTGAAGTGAGCTGATCCCAGCAAAGGTAAAGAAACTCTTCTCGACTCGCTCTGTGAATTTTCCCTCTGTCTTTGCTTCTGTATTTTCGCTGCCAATTTGTCCAATTATTAACTAATGCCTGGTATTCGGCAAGGCTCTTCCGTGCAGTGGTTAATTCGGTGCAAGAAATCTTAGACGCCAGCATTAATTTCTGCAATTTCTGAAGAATTCTGAGGATTAAAGAAGGAATGAGGATCTCAGGACATTAATGATGTTCCGAATTATAGGTTGGTGAAACGCTAATAATTATCGAAGTAAACGGAGGATGACGATAGCAGTTGTGTCGCAGAGCATCTAGGAAAAATTAAAACCCAAACCGTACGTTAGGAAGAATATGATTTAAAATCACAAGTTTATGCGTAATTGGTATAAGAATGACATCAACATTGAACTGAGTAATATTTAGGTAATTTATGCTGATTAAATTCCTATGAATCATGACTGAATCTATTAATATATGGCTATCACAAACTCCGCCAAACATAACATCGCTACTCAGTGCGCTAAATCCCGTGAAAGTTAAATCCCAGATTACGATCATCAACAATTATTCTTAAGTTTCACGAGCTTGAGCCTAGTTAAGTAAAGTTTTCTTTGATATCACACGTGCTTGGAAAGTGGAAAGTAAGTTTGCGACGTACAGAGGGAGCGTTCAGTTAGACGCGGTCACGCTCTGCTGCGTCGGCGCGCCCAGCCTCTGCAATTATAGCTCAACTTCGATGCACTTCTTGGGAGCAACGAAACCGTGACTCTCGCCATCTGCACTTAGATCAATTCTTCTGAGCCAAATACGAGGATAGAATTACAGTTACATGGCGCCATGAACTAACGGCTCGGCACACGATGTTGCCTGATCTGCTTCTGTATCGCGGAGAGCGGGAACTGCGCATGAAAACATTCCGATAATTTGCGGTCAAAATAATCCAAAACTTATAGAGTTTCCATGGGATAGTAATATTAAATGACATAATGAGAAATGATTTCGACCACTTATTAAGAGAATTTTTTGCTTGTGGAATCTAATTTTTTTTACTGTCACTGAGGTCGATCGTGTAGCCATCGGTTAGCCGCAGGTCGTACCGCCCGTTGCTGGCCGCTAAAAATTTAATGTCTTTTTCTTTTATAACAATCAGTTTCAATCGCCAGAGCTGATCTTAATAACTATTGTCGACCATCGCCACAGCTGATTTTCATCTCTTTATGCTGGGGAAGAATTTCCAAGCACTGATATGAATAAGGCTTGGCGATCGTTCGCTATCGTCACCGCGTTTGCTAAATTCCCAGAAAAAATTCAAGTCATGCACAAAACGTTATTCTTTAAATTTCAATATTTGTTTCCGAAATCACCAAGGGAAATAATTCCGTGCAACCAAAACGAGTTACGGACTTTGATCCATATTTATTCACGCCTTTTTGAAGCTACTTTTTATTTTCATTTCCCTCTAAATAATACCCTAAACAAGATAATTTTTGCAGTCAAAACGTGGTACCGACTTCGCACGCTCACTGCCAAACAACTAAGCGCTGCGACGATGTCTGCCCATACTCCTACAAGCCGGTGTGTGGCTCCGACTCCCGCATCTACAACAGCAAGTGCCAGATGAAGGTTAAGAACTGCGGGTAAGTGGAGTACAATACAGTAATACGTCATCAAGATGAAGGTTAAGAACTGCGGGTAAGTGGAGTACAATACAGTAATACGGCATCAAGATGAAGGTTAAGAACCTGTCTCTTATACACATCTAGATGTGTATAAGAGACAGGGGTGGAGGAGTGTCGGTGAGTGGTCCTAACACTATCCACCTACCTTAACCGCTGCATCCTCAGGGTGGAGGAGTGTCGGTGAGTGGTCCTAACACTCTCTACCTACCTTAACCGCTGCATCCTCAGGGTGGAGGAGTGCCGGTGAGTGGTCCTAACACCATCCACCTACCTTAACCGCTGCATCCTCAGGGTGGAGGAGCGCCGGTGAGTGGTCCTAACACTATCCACCTACCTTAACCGCTGCATCCTCAGGGTGGAGGAGTGCCGGTGAGTGGTCCTAACACTCCATCCTACCTTAACCGCTGCATCCTCAGGGTGGAGGAGTGCCGGTGAGTGGTCGTGGCACTCAACACTAGAACAAACCATGTCCAAGAATGAAAACAAAATGTGTCTATGAATACCGGTAAGTGGTCCTGACATTCATCGCTCGCAAGATCTCCCGGTTTGTAATGCCGGTGAGTGGCCCGTAATTCATCACTCGCAAGATCTCCTGGTTTGTGAGTGCCGGTTATTGGCCCGTAATTCATCATTCACATGATCTCTAGGTTTGTGAGTGCCGGTGAGTGGCCTGATACAAGTAAACTCACGGTCGATGACTGCCGGTGAGTAATCGCCACTTACCACTCACAGGACCCTTTTAATTGTGCTTGCCTGTATCTTTCCCGACATCCACGCTGACTGGATTTCAAAATTTTCACATAGCATCTTTTAAAATATTTCAGATTTTCTAGCTAACCTTCACTAAGTTCCTTGCCTAAATAACAGTTCATAGTTTTCCACTTCTTAGAAATGAAACGGAGCATGTCATATAATAAAAACGAAGTGGATGTCCTGTGGCCAGTAAGAAGTGATGACCGTAGTCGACGTGCTCACTGCAGACGAAATAGCTGAGGCGAAAATTTGCTAATTTGAGAATTATTGACTTGCAGCAGATAAGATGGCTTGGCTCTTGGTTTGTAAAAATATTATATCCATAATTTTACGGTTATGAAATCTTATCTTAAAATCATTGGCGTTGAGCAAGGGACTGAATGACCGGACTCGGCGAAATCAGATAGCGGATCAAAATTTGCCGCACAATTTCTGTCCGCATTTCGACCAACAAAGAAATTCGTAAAGCGAAAAAATGCACAATGATCTCCGATCTTGAGAGACGCAAAAAAAACTTAACATTGGACATCGAATCCTGAAATGGATGAACTTTTTTTAGAATTAGGTTCCTTTGGCGAAATAAATTTTAAAAATTTAAATCATTTGAATTTTTAATGAAAAGGAAAAAAGCGTATCAAGGATTTTCAATGTATCAAGGATTTTCAAAGAAAATGATTGCAAAAAGAGCCAATCCTTTTCATTGAAAATCCTTGATACATTGAAAATCCTTTTCATTTAAAATTCAAATGATTAAAATTTTTAAAATTTATTTCACCAAAGGAACCAAATTCTAAAAAAATGATTTAAATAATTTATTTAATGATTTTACATGATTTTAAAATGATTTTTTTTATTTTAAGTGATTTTAAATAAAAAAATTATTTAAATTTTCAGTATTTGAACATGACTATTGCAATTATCACGTATTTATAGTTATTAATGAAGAAGTTGTTCGATAATGCAGGTTTTGTATGGTAAGCAGTACTATAAAAGTAGTTGAGAACAAATGTATCAATAGCATAACACAAATGTTAAAAACGTTCATAAATTACTAATAGACTATCTAAGCTACATAATATGGAAAGAATGCAGTCAGTGACATGAAGAAGACATCACCAAACTGAAGGAAACATAACTGACGCGTGAAACAAAGAGCTGCCCGCTCGGTCAAGAAGAAGTCGCGCTGCGCCGACGAGGGCAACGAAAAAAAAAACTTCGACTAGACCGCATCACCCGAGGTTGTATGGAGCAAGCCTGTCATTACCAGCGGGCCGATAATGGACTTGCAGTTCCCTCATTACCTTCACAGTTACCGATGATTTCGTACAAATCGAGTCGACATCAACGATGGCAAGATTCGCCCTGGATTCGAAATAGCGGCCTACGGAATAAATGCCACATGAGATGTCCGTGACAGCCGATCACAATTTGCTGTAATAACTGAATTTAATCCACTGCAGTTATACTACTTTTAAATATATTTTGAAAGGGAAAAATTACGATTGATCGGTTCTAATAAATTTACTGAATTAGAACAAATTTCGCAGCATGAGATCAAATACTGTAATTATCAATTTGCTAAATTTGACGTATTCTAGACAGTCATGGGCGACAAACGTGCTGACTCCATATTAATTAATGGGTTTAAATATAGATTTCATTGAATTTCATGTATTTCTTGTATGCTCAAAAAATTAAACAGAAATCGTTGATTCCATTCAAAGTTGAGTTTGTTTTCGTGTGAAACTGAAACGATACTCTTGATGCTAGCGAATCTTGATCAGGGAAAAGTTTCTCTTTACCGAAGCTCTGCAAGAATAAGTCCGTTTTTCCGAACTTCTCCACTCTTCAAATATAAAGCGATAAAAACTGTATGCAACAAAAGCCTGCTCGTTTGTGTCCGTCGGGCAAAGAGAAATCGTCTATTTGGCCTCCTCGAGTCATCTTTACTCCTTTTCCTTAGCTGCGTTTGATTGTGATTTCAATTCTTTCTGTTGAAAAATCATCAGAGGAATTTTATACTGACTGCCGATGCGAGTGCTCCTGATGATTTTAGCTCCAGGAGTCTCCTGCTTGAGAGGCTACGTTTCATGCAGTGCACGAGAGGGTGTTTCTTTAGAAGACCCTTTAGATGGCATATGCTTATCCACGACTGCGAAATTAGACTGAAATTATTGTATCAAAAATTAATTTTAATATTACAAGACTTTCAAACTATGCTCTCAGCGTTATGGCTATGTAGGCAATCTGAAAATAAATTAATGGAGAATGAAGAATATGCCACGCTATTCTCTCCTAAAACTTTCGCGCTATTCTCCAAAAGCATACGGCTGGCGGCAACCACCAACCAAATAGGAGCCCGGCAAATAGAAGAAATGATCCGCTTCCGTAGTTTCTGGTTACGCGTCACGCAAAAACCACACAAAATTTGCGGCTGGGCTGACGAAATCTCGAGGGATGGAAGCAGGGAGAGTATCAATAGAAATTGCTTGCTTTAGCCATTCAGGATCCTCAGGCGCTGCAATTAGTCTTCATCAAGGAATTATTTTTAGTCATGTAGACATTTAAGAAAGTTCGCTATTATGCGAAGCGAGATTTAGGTCACACCGGATTTTTTCCGCATTTTTTATTTGAACTTTAATGTCCTAGCAAATTTTAAATAAGAAGAAGTTGAATAAATAGTGCCCTGGTATGGCAAGAAATTTATGAAGGAAACGCTTTCTCAGCGTGCGAATCAGTTTCGTTTCACGGATCACGTGTAAACCTGCATGTATAATAGCTTCTCGTCTTTTTCTATGTGCTTCATCTCGATTTTTGTGTTCATCACCTCGGTTTGCCTGTAACCTAATCCACCCACTTTTCTTCTCCTTATATTCTATCATTGCATCACACTTTTCCACTCTTTCTCTTGCTCTCTTTCCAGTTAAATTACGCTCGGCCAAGCTTCATTCTCCCTTTTTCCACTGCTTCTACAACAGTTCAACTCGATTGCATCCCGCCATCATACTTGCACTAACTCTTCCGTTCCCTTCAGCCCACTCCCACACACTCCACTGATACTTCATGCCGCTCCATGACTATCCTGCTCCCTCTATCTCCTCCCTACTGATTACTGCTCCCGCCATCTCACTCCTACTGACTACTGCTCCCTCCCTCTCACTCCTACTGACTACTGCTCCCTCCCTCTCACTCCTACTGACTGCTGCTCCCTCTATCTCACTCCTACTGACTACTGCTCCCTCCATCTCACTCCCACTGACTACTGCTCCCTCCATCTCACTCCTACTGACTACTGCTCCCTCCCTCGGTCCTGACCACGTCACTCGATACATCCGCTCGGCTAAGCCGTGACATTCACTTCCTTCTCTGCAGTCGCTGCAGCAATGCAGTGCTGCAAATCACATTCTCAAATTGAATTTTCTTTTATTATTTTAGCAAGGGGATTCTTATACTATATACTTATCTCTTAAGGGGATTCTTAAAACGTGGAAAAAATATTGCCTTCATTTGGAACGATGGTACGATTTACCATGTGAGAATGGAAACACTATATTTCGTTTCGAATATTGATATTTTTACTGAAATATTAGGCGCCGGCAAATTCCTTCTTTCTTTGACAATGAAGTCACTCGTTGGAAAGGTTTATTCTATATAGATGAATATTTCCCACCTGGCATTGGTTCCCATCACTACCATAAGGCTTGCATTCGATTGCTGATTGCTTAGAACGATCACCACGTATAAAGTGTTTTCATCCATTTGATATTCATTATCATTAAAAATTGTCTGTACTATTTTTCAGGAAGAAAAAATATAAAATTATCTGATTTGAATTTATTTGAGGTATATGAATTATTTAATTTTATCGGTTAATGAGACCTAAGACTTGTCCCGCAGGTCAGGGACGACGTTCGCTCACTTCGGCCCGTGCGTGGGTACGGGCAACCTGACGACAACGTCGGGCTGCCCGTCGGACTGCACGGGCGTCAAGGAGGACGCGCCCGTCTGCGCTTCCGATGGGAACGTCTACACGTCGCTCTGTGACATGCGCATGCGCACCTGCAAGTACGTCGCTCTGTGTCATGCGCATGCGCACCTGCAAGTACGTCGCTCTGTGACATGCGCTACAGTAATACGGCATCAAGATGAAGGTTAAGAACTGCGGGTAAGTGAAGTACAATACAGTAATACGACATCAAGATGAAGGTTAAGAACTGCGGGCAAGTGGAGTACAATACAGTAATACGGCATTAAAACAAATACGTCTCTGACAGTGATTCGTTCAAGTGGTTTAAATGAAGATCAAAATAGCGAGTTAGTTTTCTACTGACCGTTATTATAGTAATGAACAAGTAGTGCAATCAGAAAAAAGTTTACAAATAAACGAAAAAATTTCATGATCGCTTCTGTTGCATTTTCAAGTAAATCACAAAAATACGCGAGTGCAAGAAATGATTTAGATATTCAGGCATAAAACATATTGCCCCGTAGCCATAATTTCTAAACTCGCTCAAGTACACGTAGTGATCTAAGAATGCATTACAATTTTCAAGGAGTCGAATAATTCTTTAGTTGGTAAATCAAAACGCAGATATAGCAAATAATAAGCAAATTTAGCAAATAAATTTATTATTATTTGCTTATTCTGGCTTTTGATTTACCAAAGTCATTTAAGGAATTGTTCGACTCCTTGAAAATTATAATACATTCTTTGGTCATTAATTCTACGCATTTAAACAAGAAAGTTCTGTCATCTTATGATAAGTAGTAGTCTAAGTACACGAAGTAGTCTAAGTACACGTAGTGATCTAAGTACACTAAGTATTCTAAGTACACGTAGTGATCTAAGTACAAGAAGTAGTTAACGTACACGTAGCAGCCGATTTATCTTCTGTGATAGGTTGATTTATCTCGTAAAGCCGTCAGTGATTGGCTGACGGAGTTACGAAATCGCACCTATTTTTGATAAGACGTCTCCTGATACCAGGCGCCACATCTTCGAGACGCCGATGGTTCACTGCCGACCTCAGGAACGCACCACGGGAGGCTGTCCCATCTCGTGCGAGGCTGTCCCCCATGACCCCGTCTGCGGGTCCAACGGCCGCCTCTACGACAGCGAGTGTGACATGGAGCGACTTAACTGCGGGTCTGAATTTTATTTTGCAGACAAAATATATCATGACGAAGTGATAAGTTAACCGATAAGTACAAACATCATAAATAAATAGGAATTATTATTTTCTAGCTGATCGGTTATAGGAAAATTTCCATTATAATTACTAACGCTATTTAAAACTCAAACTATTAATAAATGGTATTTAAAATTAAAAATTTTGATGATTCTCTGAAATTACACACAAGCTATTTTTAAAGAACATGTCAGGCAGACCAGCTTCTGTGTGAATAAAATACCAAGAACTTCGATATAGGTGAGAGAATGGTACTGCATTCTATAAAAAGCGAAGAAATTCGTATAATTGATCAATAATTGGTCAACAATTGATCATTAATCATTGCCCTCGCTAGCCTGGGGGGCGCAGGGCGTGTGTTCCCCGTGAGTCTAGAGAAGTGCCGCAAGAAGATGGACAGCTGTGAGCGCATCCAGTGTCCATTCACGCTGGACCCTGTCTGTGGCACGGACAGCACCACTTACGTCAACTACTGTCACCTGCACAAGGCAACGTGCAAGTTAGTTGATAATACAGCAGTAATATAATTAAATTGAAAAAAAATTAATACTGCAGTTGATGAAACAGCTGTGATATAATTAAACTGAAAAAGTTATTGCAACTGACACCGGTACAAGGCAAGATGTGATTCAGTTAATATAAAACAGCACGGATATAATATAATATAACCGAAAAAGTTATTAGTCTATTTTTAACGTCGCAGAAATATAACCAAAATAACTAAACTGAAAGAGTTGAGATCTCATGATGTCTATTAATAAAGAAGCCGGTCTGAAAGATCACTCATCAAAATGTTTAGCTTTTCACGTGAGTACCGCAGAAGTCAGATAGTTACTGCGCAGCCATCATTTAGGGAAAATACTCATGGTAATCAAAGGTATCATTGCGCGAATTGTACTTTAAAGATATTTTGTAGTAATTATTGATAGCGTTAATGAGTTCAACGCAAGATGGATAATGACTTTAAATACGAGTACATAAAGTATCGAAAAATACTCAATGCCAGGAAATCAACTTGCCATTTCTCATGAAGGGTGTGGTTGGTATTAGAAAATCAGATTGCCCGAATTTTACTTCACAGATATTTTCGGAATAATTGTAGATGTCAAAAGGAATTCGACACCAGATACATAATGACTTGTATATACATCAAGTTAAGAAACATTATATAGAAACTGTATCGCAGGTCATATTTTAAACCAACTTGCTCTCCCCAGGAAGGGCGTGGAGCTTGCTCACTACGGTGAGTGTCCTGACATGAGCATCAGGGAGAACTGCGACGCTGAGTGTCAGGACCAAGAGAGCACGTACCCGGTGTGTGGTTCTGACGGTAACGTCTACAAGTCTACGTGTGACATGCACAAGCGAACCTGCGGCCAGAAGTGAGGCTTGTTTGTTAACGGTATCCTCCTATATGAAAATATTATATAGCCTTATAGGATAAAATATGTGACACGTTTGAATCAAACTTTGAAGTTAAGTGAGGCTTGTTTGTTAATTAACAGTAACCTCCTATATAAAAAAATTATATAGGCTTCTAGGACTAAATATGTGACACATTTGAATGAAGCTTTGAATTTAAGTGAGGCTTGCGTGTTAAAGGTAACCGTCTATTACAGTGAAAACCTATAACCCCTACGACAAAATATATGACATATTTGACCTTGTTTCCCTACATTCAATTATTTTACATATGGTGAGTGAAGTTTTGCATTGAGGTGTGGCTTGCCTGTTCTAACCTTCTCAAACATGTAACACATTCAAATGGAACTGATTCTTCTAGCATTTCTATTATGAGAGATAAATTAAATGAAAAGCTATATATTTTACTAAGTAACATGCATCAGTGTTATTTGGATGAAAAATCTTTGAATGTTTCTTGCTGGTAATTCAAATTTTTCATAACGTACTTCTCTTCGTCGACATTGACCTATTTGACTTCTATAAACGACGAACTCAGCATACTACGTAAATTTATTGATTGTATAGTACTACAGTTTATGCGTGCAACAAATCGTACGTATATCAACAACATACATACTACGCGTTTCAAGGCTTCTGTTGTTTCGAGTTTGCTTTGTATTATTACTAGTGCTTGATATTTAACAGTGAATTTTGTGATCCCAACATGTACCGAGCGATGTACAGTTTATTGATTTCATGTGAAATACCAGAGGTGTGATCAGACTTGTGACTTCCTTCGAAACAGAGATTAGTTGTAAATACATACTGGTATTAATACTATGTATTACTATACATAGTATTAATACCAGTAACTATGTGGCGTGAAGTTACTATAACTTGTAATAGTAGTGTACTCGTATATTCTAATTAGTATATACAAGTGCTACCAAAACTCACTTGCCTGGACCTGCAGGGTGGTGGCGGTAGCGCTGCATCACTGCGAGGCCACCAAGCACTGCGTCCTGGAGTGTAGGGGCGACAACGTGGCGGTGTGTGGCTCTGACAACAAAATGTACCGCAACAAGTGCGAGATGAAGACCAAGAACTGCGGGTGAGTTGTCCACCAGGGCCTATACTTTCAAAACAAGTTAAGAGATCGTAAGTTCATCAGTCAATCGTTGACGGCTTTCAATCAAAATCCACCAATCGTAGACAAGAAAATAAGGAGTAAGTACTTACGTTCACGTAGCGAATTTTGAAAGTATAGGCCCAGGATGGGAATTGCTTGAACTAGTTGAATAGAAGACGCGGAAAGTTAATAACTAGTGATACGCAAGCGCAACGCTGCACTATGCAAACTCACTTCAAAGTTAAGGTTATTATTGAATTGTTGAGTATGCAACCATATGTGACTTTGTTCGGAATTTTGAAACGAATGGGAATTCGAAGTGATTAGCGCTTGACAATGAGAAATTTGAGTCTGCCTTTGACGAACTAAATGAATTTATTTTGTTTCCTCAGAGTTTTTTTGGACAAATTATTAAGAGTTCAAGTATAGATCTTTACGAATACAGTTCAATTGCAATTATTTAATTCTTGTTTCTTGCGGTGACTAATTTTTCTGAGATGGTTCAAAATCAAAGTTCATCCAGAATAAATAAGCCATTTTTCTAATCATTTCTAGAGTAAAATATTAACACAAGAATCATAATTCACTTGCCCCAGTAGAGGGTTGACATGGTGTCATGCATACCTGCAGGCAACACGTGTACGAGGTGCCACTCAAGCAGTGCCTGTCGGGCTTCCACTTTCTGAGTTGCCTGCGCTTCTGCCCGAAGACGTTCGAGCCCGTCTGTGGGACCGACGGCAAGACCTACAGCAACGAGTGCTTCCTGAAGATGGAGAACTGCAGGGCACGGAGCCTCGGACGGTCCTTCGTCAATAGGATCTACCACGGCAAATGCGGCTACCCGCAACCGCAGCCCAAGCTTTATATGTTCAGATAGACATGGTACCGGTCTCGTACTACCATTCCTACCATGCTCTCGACAATATCATAACTTCGATCCTAGTAGCAGCGAAAAAAATACTTTTAGAAGGTCGCAAAAATTTTTTTATTATGCTGAAAATATTGCATTGTGTTTACTGATTTACAATTTTCTGAAGAAAATACGAGAAGTCAGTAATGCTGTACATCCTAAAAGCTAAAAGCAAATGGTATCAAATTTGTTTGTTATTAGGGCTTTTAAAGAACTCTGAGGCATTACATTATTTTCGTGTAGTTAGCTAGAAATTTCCAAGCGAACATGTTATTTCCTTGAATTAGTTTTGCATTAGCATCGTTCGAATTTTTTATGAACCTGCCTTCTAATTTACACAAGAAAATCTATTGTACATAAGATCTTTGTTAGGGAGATCGGATTTTCGCTTGCCTCTATTAATACTTTTTTTTCGCACGATATTTTGAATTTATTTGAAAGTTCATTGGACGACTTTCGTTATTTACAGTTCTTTCTCATCAAAAATAAGAAGCAGTACTTTGTACACCGGGTTGTCCACAAATTTTTATTGAATATTATTCCAAGAAGCGTAAATTCTATGCTAATTAACATTGAATTAAGTGTTTGGTATATTCATGCCCGAAACTTTGTTCATGCCCCCGATTATTCTCAGTCGAGAATTACGAAACTAAAACTAAGTCTCACGTCCTAAATTACTGCTATCCATTTGGTAGACTATTTTTTCCGATGCTTCATGGTTTTTTCGCAAACGTTATCAAGTAAAATCATAGCTCGTGTAATTGCAAAAACAATAAAATAATTAAGACACGTATAGTGGAGAAGCATCTAAAATGCCACAACATTTTGTCCATTTTCTCGCCTAATTTTTCGTCATGCTTGGTTTCGCTTATATAGTTTACTCATGTTATAAAATAGTGCTTAGCTTGCCGTGTATGTTAATCAGAGTTATGCTCAGTGAATAGCTGTCATTTTCACCTGCGTGATCTTCATGATTGTTCTTTTTAAATTCCGTTTATTGTCAACTCGAATGAGATATAATTTTGATGTGGACTAGTGAACCTGAAAGAAATTTATCTGAAGAAAACAAGTTTACGGAATGCCTATTTTGAAAATTATGCGGAACAAATTACTTATCGTTTCCGTTAAAATTAGGTTTTATTCGCTCACAGACCAAGCTGTCACACTATGTATCGGTCAAGAATATTAAGCTCTTATCTGTGAATGTACGTCGGCTTTTACCTTTCTTGCGTACTGTTGAACAACTTGTGATAGTTAGTTACCCATGATCAAATTATTGTTAATATTGCAAGTTCGACGTTCGTTACCGCTGGAGACTGCAGGAGTTTTTTATTATTGGTGTGTTTTAAGTTATTTAAGCGAGGAATTGTCTTATTTTACTAAGGCTTGTTCTTTTATTTATTGTTGTTATAATCTATGTTATTCAAACTAGAAATCCGACATGCTATGGACTTTTAGTGATATGGTCTTGTGCCTGCCTGGTAGATCTTTTCCAATAAAACCCGTAACACAGAACTTTAATTATTCCTTAAGTTCCCGCTTTTTCGGAATATCTCTCAGGAGCGATAAAACAACGACCAGTATTTTACAATTGATTAAATAACTTGCATATGTTCAAAGACTGAGAGTAAAAAAAATTATGGCGCAAAAAAATTTTTCCACGCCACTAGTATCCCTTCGAAGGTACGGAGTAGGAATAGTAGAGTAAGAATTCGGAAAGGTATAGAGGAAGAAACCTATGGCCTCTTTCGCAGGATCCCTTCTTCAGAAAATAAGGCTCTATAGAGCGAGAAGACGCGCGTTGTCATAGATAGAGATATTTGTGTATAGAGCGCATAGAGATATTTGTAAGAATTGACCGCACTTGCATTGCCCTTAAGAATGTCTAGGAAAATATTATATTTTTGTTGAAATGACAAGCGTATTGAAGTATCAGTCTTGACAAAAATCATGAAACCAGATTCACGAATTTTAATAAACGATGATAAGACGAAGAACCGAATTAGTTGGCGTCGCATGTATTCGAAGCGGATCAACGAAACTTTAAAAATTACTGCTGTATGATACAGCAAACTGGTTCATTTGGAGAAGTAAATTAATCTACATAATTAAGAATCGTTTGTTGTTATGTAGTGAACATTGTGCAAGAACACTCACAAGCGCGTTTCATTATTGGTATACATGGTCATGATATTTGCTATACGAGCGTCACAATGCAAGTGGGAAATATAAATAAAGCTACATGTATTACGAACTTCAATCTGCTCGTCATTGTTTTCGAGAGGTTTGATGTTGGGATCATGCAAATATTCTAATGAGGCTGATACCGTCACTCAAGTGGTGAACGATACATAATGAGGGAGATTTGTTGAACGTGCATCAGTGCAAAATTCAAATGTTTTAAAAAATTATGTTTGAATTATTTCTATGCATAATTGTAATTATTTACGGAAGTTCTTTATGTAAAGTAGTCACTATTAGAATGATTTTTTTCGCGGGTTTGTGTGCGCTCAAAAGATACTACAAATTCATTAGATACATTTGAAGAAAATATCTGTACGAAAATAAACCTGGCCTTAACTCTTACCATTTTGCTCACAAGAATACCCTACTTGTGCAATCGCATGCTTCAGTTTCACACGTTTATTTCAACGTCACTTCGCTCGGTTCAAAAGGGATTACGAATTTCGATTGTCCGAAGTAGAACATCGTTAATGTCAAGCATCTCATAAGACCATGGGAGGCACGCAGAATGGCGTAAAACGCCGATTAGCAGCACTTACCACCTCGAATTTTTTTGATATGTTAAAAATTAATTTTATTACAGTTTTAGCGAAATTCAGCAGACAAAAGTTCAGCACGCCATTGAAATAATAAGCATGCCTTTTTGCAAGCTGATGCATTTTGTAATCTGTGTTTATCTGTAAAAAATTCAGGAGCCATACAAGCTAATTCACATGATTGAATTTAAATATTTTTTCCCTATCGTGGTCGAAGTTCGCAAGCTATTGCGAGTGATATCAAAGACATAATGCATCACGAACTGTTTCACCGCCTCAATAAGTTTCTGATGCTACCCATTACGTCGCGATCAGTTCTGAATTGACGTCAATATGCGTCGTTAACTGGCCGAAACAAACGTTACACTAACTAGTGCCGCGTCCGCCGCAATGTCGCTTTGGTTCAGAGATTATGTCCTATAGGCGGAGCTAGTAATTTTACAGTTACGTCTCCAGATAGTTCAATGTCAGCTCTCAAATTTCCACAGACATGTGTATCCCGCAAAATATACTGAAATTTAGTTAAAAGCATTGAAAAAGTTCTGATCGAAAACGACACTTATCTTTCATTCTTGGACACTTTCATTTTTTAAATGATGTTTCAGGCAATATTTTCAAAGGAATCTCATTCGGGGCAACAGTTGCAGTCATAATATAAATTCATGAAGTTAATTATAATTTTAACTTTACGTAAACTAAAAAATCAAATTTTGGTTGCAGTTAAAATTTAAGTTTCACGCTGAACCGAATTGATTTCATACCTTTGTTAAAGACTATACGAGGCAACCACGGCCGGCCCCGGCATATTGCACAGCAGTCTACCGAGAGCCGTACAGCTTGCCTAATTACCATCTAGTTCATCCTACGTAATTCAATCTGTCTACAATGTAAGTGTACAGCTGTAGGCGGCGTGTATATATTTTACCTATATTTTGGTGTTCTTAGCTCATTTTAGAACTTCGCCCATGAGTGCGATAGTGGAGCTGGAAAGTATCTGTGCTGATTTCCGAAGGAACTGAATGTCGCGCTTGCTATCGTATATTTTTAGTGCTAAGTGTACTATTAAAGTTCTTGGAGTATGTGCTCCTCGTGTGCTATAGACCTTAATCATGGATAAGAAGTAGCTTTGCCAGAACCGCATTACGAAGATCAGCACTATAATCCAAGGACGTAACATGATGATGGTTCGTGAGGGTTCACTCAGCTGGTAGTGTAGACTGTAGAGCGTTGAACTACGGCTAACTTATTTTGAAATATTCGCTATTCGAAACTGCCATCCTTCCTATATCCGAAACGAGATATTTGCTATATTCTTACTGTAAATATACCATACAGAAGAAACTAGATGAAAGTTAATTGTTAAGGCGTACAATTGAGAAAAGTCTTCTTGTCACTTTCGTCACAGAAACTCTTGTCCTGAAAGTTTATTCTTGAAAGAAACCATTTGCCTATTTCGTGTTTGGATTGTTAGGAAAGAGTTATTTACGAAGATAGATGTTGGCCCTATTTTGAAGGATTAAATTGTGATGACTGCCTTTCCAACGATAATAAAATTGATTTTACATCACTAGGACAGAGGATCTGATAGACTTTAGATAGATAAAGTCTCTGCATTCAAGAGTGCATTTTATGTGCCGCAGGAATAAGTTGGCCGCTACCACCATTCTGATACTACTGCTGGCAGTCCTGGAGTCGGTGGAAGGGCAGGTCCGCGGATTAATGTTGCCCCAGGACTTCCCGGAGGACGTGGATCTGGCCACCATCACACCCCAGACGGTGGACATGGTGCTCGCCGACAGGGCCGCTGTGCTACAGCTCGTAGAGTGCTTCGAGAACGAGGCGAGGTGTCGGTCTCGCGGTGCCCTCTCCTTCGCTCGTAAGTTCAATTAAAGGCTTGAAATGACGAGGGTCCTATAAATTATGAGAAATTTAGTGTTCTGCATAGCACTTAATCATCGGAGCTTCCTGATTTAAAGAACTTATGGGCAATGGAGCCGTAGCTGGAAACCATTTTAATTGTATGTTGTAATCGCGTTGGTGCAAAGTATAGCCTTACTTGATAACTTCGAAGAGACTAAAGTCAAAGGTAGTTAAGGTGACTGTTACTGCCGGAGGTTTTGACACGAGGCTGGTTCCCCCTAAGCTTCCAATTCTTACAAACCTTTTCTTAGCGGAAGCAATAAAGGGGTAATTGAACATGTAGAACTACTGAGAAGAGCGATCAGGTTGAGGGTAGGACTTCATATCGACAATGTGGCTAGAATGTTGACAAATTGGAAATGGTCAGTGGTCCGTTGATGACTACTATCCGTAATTGCATTTGTGTCACAGGGCAAGTGCGTCGCCTGGGCAAGAGCGGCCGGTGTCACCGCTGTTCCCCGCGTCAGCAGCAGCACATCAGCGTCATCATGCGCCGCACTGTCTCCGGTATGCAGAGCAAACACCCGGCAGAATGGCGGAGGATTGTTCCCTACATCAGAAACTTGTTGTGATGGTCTTCGTGGGGTTAATTTGATGAATTCTATCTATTTAAAGTACCGCTGAAACCAGCAGTCGCGGAGCATACTACTAATCGACGATCTTGATAGAATTTTCTCAATGCCAGTCTGAATGTCAGACCCCTTGAACGATTTGTCGACTTCGTTAATGGGTTCATTAGTTGATTACGTCTGTTACAGGGACGTGTACAGTTATTTTGCCTTAGTACTGCACTCAATTTGCCGCTAGTATATATCCGAAAACTGTGTTCGTACTAAAGTCGCTTCTAATTTCGTAGTAACGCCCATTCATAAGAAATGCACTGCGTACACTAATTGAATTTCCTGAACCCGCCTTCTGCTCGCGTTAATCTTGAATGAAATTTTTCTATAGGGTAATTTTCTGTGGCAGAGTGAGGTTTTCGAACGAGCTTGTAGGCGTTAATTAGGCTGCGTGACATTTTGTTACCGGTTTCTAGTGAAGTTGCATTTATCTAGGCAGCTTTAACATAGCTGTTGGTCCTTATGAGCTCAAACGCAAGCCTTCAATATTTCTGCGGTGGAAATGGTTCTTGTTGTTGACTAGCCTTGCGTTGCAGGAGCTCTCTTATTTCTTCGCATTTTCTTAAATCCTTGACTTCGGCCGGCTGTTGAGTTTACCTTCAGTCTGTCTGTAATTTATTAATGTTAATTTTTAATAAAATGTAGATCGTGAAAGTGACTTTTATTTTAATTGAAAGAATGGCCTAGATGACTATTACATGGGTCATTACATAGGTTCATACGATGTGGTTTACTAGTTAACATAAATCGTGATAACGCATCAGTGCCGACATTATCGCAACCCAGTGTAGTTTGATAGCTATGCAGTTATTGACTCCTTAGTGAATTCATTTACACGCTAATCACGCTCTGTGACTTTGTTGTCGCGAAATGTGAGTAATTTTACGGATATCAATAGTGTGAAGAACTCTTGGAAATCGCTTAACTTGGTTGAGGATGGATCTTTTGCTGTCTTGTTGCCAGGGCGGATTTTCGTGAACATTCCAGATGTCGTGTACCGACCAGACTAGTATTTTGTTGAGGATCGCAGGCGTCAGACATGTGTAAGATTATCGGGTATGTACGATTTACCGAAAATCGCACTGTCACCGAAAGCTTCAAGTTTCCGTGTTCCGATATTTTCCACACGTGCAGGATTTTAACATCGTATATGAATCATGAAAGACCCCGGCGCAAGTGCGGCCATCTATCCCACCGAGGCCATGGAAAGACGTTATTCTCTTTAGACTAACAATTTTCAGAATTACGAAGGCCCAAGTCTTAACGAAAGCTCTGCCGATGTATGAGAGTCGTTTTTTATAATTTCTAGCGAGGTAACTGATGTACGTAAAATGTCCCTTAACGATGTGTACGATTGATTTTAGATAATCGAATTGCTTCAACATCATTTGGTGTACTGGTATGTTGACGAATACTTTACAATTTGAAATAATAATTTGTGAGAAAATTATTAGCACATGTGAAAATATTAACTAGAAAAAATCCCGTGACACTACACGTAATTTTTTTTTATAATTGGTTTTAAGACTTGTGGTGTACAAAACACCTCCCAGCCTGTTCCCAGTCAAAGAGAAAGAGCAGAGCGCTGAGCACCGAACTTGGTACTTTGCTAATTATAGTGCTGCTTCTGGCGCCAATAAGCAGGTTTCCACGGGGCTGCAACAGGCCTCACAGCAAGCAGTTTCTCATAACTGTTGACTAAATCTGAGAGTAAGTTAGTTAGAACAAGACATTAGTCAATTGTTTATGGCTCCTTTGGCTTCACAGTGAATCCAGCATGCCAGAATGCAACAGAAATTGTGACAGGTTAGAAAATACACGAGGGCGCTCTGCTGCAGGGATCTCAGCTGAAGACTGTGCTCAGCTCAAGATTAAATTAACACTTAAGATCAAATTGATATAAAGCCTACAGTTAAGATAAAGCTGACATCAAATTGTTACATAAAATCCCTGTGAAGTTTATTTCTCTATCAATGGTGTGACATACATTGCTAAATAAGCGGCTAGAAATTAGACACAATTGCAAAAATCACAGAATGGACTTTGATATTAAGGAGATATCGGATGGTCACTTGTTTAATTTCATGTCATTGTGATAGGTCTCGAATGACTGTAGAGCAAGTTATGGGACCGAGTAATAATTTGGTAACTTTAAAATGGGTGGGTATGTTTTAGGACTCTAATCCATAACAGTTTTTTTAGAGGCTTGCACTATTCATATATGGGATGACTGAGTTTGTTCAAGAAAGCGTATAAGGGGAGCGACTTGGTCAGATATAGAAAATTCGGCTTTTCAGTGTTTTAGGCTCATTTTGTAGCTGTTGAGAAGGCGCGTCGAACGCAGCAAACCGCATGTCTGCGTGCTCCAGTTTTTACAAAAAGGAATTTCATTGATGAAATGAACGACCTTATTTTAAAAATATATATACATATGTAGTTGAATTAAATCTGTACATATAGATCATTAGTCTCGTCAATTGCAAAGTGCTAGCACTCGTTTGAAAGCTACAAACAAAACGCGTTCAACAAATCTAATACCATGGATGTGCACGCAATAATTTTTGCGTAAGGCCGTTTTGAACTTATATGAAATGAAAATTTTAAATATATACATAAGTATCACAAAAATCACATTTATAGCTTATTATTCACGTTAAACTGGACAAGAAAGACGGGTGCTGGTACCCAAGTGCAACTATAACTGGCAATGGGTGAGCTTGGTCTAAAATACCAAGCAATTTTTGGGCATATTCTTCTTTTTAGCGCATTTTCTCAATTATGGAACAAATGCACTATTGTGCTCGCCATGTCCGTCTGTCTGTCCGTCCGTCTATCCGTGACCTCAAGTTTTCGTCGACGAGAAAATGCGCTCTCTGTCACTCACTGCAGTGGGTACTGAGTTACATTTTTTTCTATAAATTTTACTTATTTGGCTCCCCTGAACAATTAAAATTTCCAAAAGGCGCCATCTTAAAAATCTATCTCCTCCTATGATTTTCAGGCTGCAGCATTGAGAGATATACCATTCGATTCGTAAAGAAAAGATCTAGAGAATTGTCATGTTTTTTTTCCGTAATTTCGTTATAGTTAGAAGAAAACCCGTTATAGATATAGAAAAACGAACGAAAAATCCCCCCCACCCACAAAAATGAGAATTTCGAAAAAAAAGTCATGACGAACCTCTAGATGTGGTCTTTACGAATGAATGATATGATATGAATGATTTGATTCGATGTTGTTCCTTGAAAATCCTAGGAGGAGATAGATTTATACAGTACCCCCTTTCTGCCATTTTCTATTAAATTCGCGTTTTCTTTAATTTTTTTTCGAAAAATTTACACAAACAAAAAAGTCCTAGATTTCTGTTTTACACCTGTGCACCAAGTTTCAAAGTGATCCGCTCGTAAATAAAAAAATTTTCCAGACCGAGACGCTCCCCTTATAATTGATGCATTTTTGATAGCTTCTATCCAGTATTATTTCATTCTGAAATTCAAACATGGGATAATTTTGATGAATTCTTAAATTTCCTTTAAAATCTACTTTTTACTACGGATTTAAAAAACCAGCCCGGGTAGAGATAGGTGGGCAGCTACCCGGGCAACCCTGCCTGGAACATCCTTTGCCTCCTCATGCTGACACAATATTACCTGGCCAGATACGTGAAGTAACTAAAATTTTAAAATGTTTTTCATGGGTGGAGTCATGTGTACATTTAAATCTGATCATTACAAACGAGTCATTGTGACTTATTCCTGGAAAATTTGATCCAAATTTAGAGTGACATTTCAGCCTGTGGCGTATCTTCACTTCTGAGCTGTCGTTGCAATTGAAGTCATTTATGCAGTTGCAATATATAGTTATCAGCGCCCTCATCAATATCACTGCAAATTTCGGGAAATTAGCTTCAAATGTGAACGATATGGCTCCTAATCGAATTGTTTGAAGGAACAAACCAAAAACGAAAACGGGAATGCGCAGTGTTCAATCAATCGCCTGTGATTGCAATGAGAATTCAATTTGAACGATCCTCTCATACTAGCTGCATGCACCTGCACATCTTCCTGAGCAAAAATTTCACTCGAGTATATTTTCTTGCTATCAAAAGTGTAACTGTTAATTCGATACAAATTTCGTGCGGTCGCATATATCAGTAGCTTATAGACGGGATCAAGCTTGAACATCCCGTATTTCATAATAAAAGGTAAAAAAATATCGTTCCAATTCTCTGTGTTAATTTTTTATTTATAGGTAAAGATTGCACAGATTACAAGAGCCTGGTTGGACATTCCTCTAACTCATTGAATAATAAAGTAAGATCGCTGTATTTATTTTTATGAGTTATTATTTTCTGCTGATCATTTATTTGTTATTTTTTGTGCATGCGGAGTTTGGTTCAATGTTTTCATGTTTCACCCGATGACCGCCTCGATCATCCTCCTGATGGCTATGATTTGCGGTGCGTTGTTCGTGGCTGAAATTAGACAAAAACGAGCTTTAAATCAAACGATTTCATCATTTATACATTTTTTTGCGTAGCGCGTTCAGTTTAGTTTGTTATTGAATTGAAACTATAATCCATGATTTTTTATTTCTTAATATGATAAATCTACATTTTTATTGTGAGTACCATATTACGTCAAATTAACGACATAATTTATCACTTTATAACCGCCGGGACGACAGTAAATGAACACATTAGCGGCACATTGATGTGATATTTGATCACATCAATGTTTCGTTCACCTTCACCATCTCAAATGTTGCTTGGGCCATACTTTCAAAACTCGCTAAGTGAACGTAAGTACTTACGCTCTATTTTCTTGTCTATGATTGGTTAATTTTGCTTGAAAGGCCGTCAATGATTGGATGATGAACTTACGATCTCTCAACTTGCGATCTCTCAAAGTTGAGAGATCGTAAGTTCATCAGCCAATCATTGACGGCCTTTCAAGCAAAATCCACCAATCATAGACAAGAAAATAGAGCGTAAGTACTTACGTTCACTTAGCGGAATTTTCAGGATCACAATGAACACATCGCGCTATGTACTCACAATAACCAATTCCGGTGTAGCCCCACCAGTCCCAGCAGCCGTTGGGGTTGCTGAGGATGGTGCTGATCGCTTGAGGGAAAATCACGATGATGTTGTTGAGCTCTGCCACTTGCAGGTACTCGGTGTTCCTAGCAAACGAGTCGCCCAACACTTCTCTGTGACACAGGGTTGTGTTCTCTTCACTAATCAGTTAAGACGTCGAATTTTACACCAAACTTATTAGGTGAGATCGTTTACGAACTTCAACTTCATAATCATATTTGCTATACAGAAAGAAATCAATTTGTTTTTATAAACTATTGTTGAAAGAATTTGGTGCCAACAATATGAACTTTGATGAACTGGGACGCATTTGCCTTGTCCATTATTGTACTTGTACGTGACTGTGGATCTAATGAAATCACTTTCAAGTTTTCATGTTGACATTAAGTGACTAAAATTTAGATAACTCACTATATATGCTTGTAGAAAAAAATGAAAAAATTCATTTGCCGATGTAGAGGCCAAGAAGGTGGTAAGAATATTTGTGTACCTGCCCTGAAGGCAGCCATGCAGAGCGACGTGTAGCCTGCACGTGACTGTGCCGTCCTCACACGCG